AAAAGGGTAACAATATGCTGATTAATTCGTATTTCCTTCTAATTTTTTTTTTTTGAGAAAATAAAAAAAAAATATGCATTCTGGTCTTGCTCTGCCTACTTATGATGGGGTTTATTGCAGAAGATAAAAAAAAGCTGAAAAAGATTATGGCTGTCATTTGTGTCATTTTCTCCACATATGTAAAAATATGTGCAGTGGAAAAAGAGTCCTGCTGTTTATTAAGTGTCCTTCTTGTATATATTCATACGTATTTATTAAAAAAAGGCAAGGCTGAAGGAATGCATTTTGTTGTTTTAAGTACAGAGACTGATCCTTATAGAGCAAGAGAGTTTCTTTTATGGTCTAGAACCACTCAATAAAGTTTTGCCTCCTGTCAGTTTAGGCTGTGCCTTATTACAGAATCTGTTATTCTGGAGACAGTTATCATTTATGATCATCAACCCAGAGGTATAGAACAGTGGATTTTTAATCTCTTAAAAAAATGTTCAGACTCTACTCAGTTCTTCATTGGAGGTATAAAAACCCTGTATAGTTAATATGTGCATATTCACAGGATATTCACATCTCATAGATGCTTTTTGTCACCCTTTAGGAAGTAATGCATGGACTCATCTCTGTGATCTCTGGATAACAAGTTTATGTCCATTGCTTTGATTATGATGACTGAAGAAATCATGTACATGAATGACAGATGAGATGTAAAAACTTCAGGTTTTTTGAATCATTTGTATTTAAGAAAGTTAAAATCCTTCCTATGTTTTAGAATAAACATTTGTCTCAAGTCAGCAAGGTTTTCACAGGCCTTTAGTCTGCACGTACAGATGAGGAGTATAGTTTTATGTATCAAATTCTTTTCAAGAAATTCCATAAATTTTCAAACACTGTAAGAGCAAACAGCTGTCTGTGTCAAACCAGTTAATTGCCAGAAACCAATTTAATACTGTACCCTATGGGAAAAGAGTGCTTGTATTTCCATTAAAACAAAAGGTGAGGTCTTTTTACTTTAAAATCAGAGGCAACTCTGCATTTGATTTTATTTGGAATTCCCTCCTGTGCATGTCACCATCCATTTCACACAATGTTGGTGGGTTACCACAGAGGTAGTCTATTTTCAAAGCTATAATACAAAAATGTTGAGGATCAAATTCTGTTCCTTCCATGTAAATATGTAAGAGTTCAACTGGAGCCACTGAATTATTAAGGGATTATATGAACGTAAGTGAAGGTGGGATCTAGCCTAGATTTTTTTTTACTAGAAAGTGCATTCTTCTTTCCAGCTACTGGGTGATATGATGGTTGGGTTTTTTTTATGAATTAATTCAGAATTTGCAATAGTTGCTGAAGTATGTGAAAGATCCTCAGTGGAGAGAATTCAGAGTTGCTTTGATCTTCTTTTGCCCAAGTCTTCACAAGGTACCAGTATCCTAAAAGCTTCTGGCAGTATAACTCTGCACTTACGTAAGGACAGAAGGAAGAATTTACCAGTTTTTACCAGAGAAGTAAGTTTTCCATTCACACATTTAAGGTGTGAAGAAGTGCACAGCACACTTTACTACACAGTTGCTATGAAACAGAGACCTACAACTCTAAATCACTGATGTTGTCTGTATGATGAAAATACATCCTCTATTTATCCTTTAGACATTATTTTCACTGTTTAACCACGATGAAAGTAATATCTAGATTTTTAAGCTTCTCTTAGCCTGTTGAGGTGCTTGCTGTAAATGTCATTTACATCCGATGAAACAGAAAAACTGTTTTGTTTTTCAAAGCTGATGAATTGTTTTCTGTTTATTTGCATATCCAAAATAAACATTTTAGTTTGCTGGCTCCAAAATTCCTCTTGCATGTCTAAAAGGTCTATTTGTAAAAAAAGTTACCCTATTAAATTGGTCGCTATAGCCAAGGCTTCTTGTGTAGCCTTAGAGGACATTTAGGACATTGCATATGAGTCAACCCACCTGGATCGATTTTGTATGCTAAAGCAGCATCAACTTCCCATCCCTCATGGTATAGCTGGTTAATGCTGATAGGTAGGAGATGCCTTTTTTGCTGCCTTTGGTCAGGATCTCTGTACTTGTTATGCCCTTAAAATAGGGTGTGTTCTTTTCACTTGAAGCATCCACCCACTTCCTAAACCATCATCCCACAAACATTTGTACATCCTACAGACATACTCCACCCACGGGAAACTCTCCACAGTCTCACTTCTTCAAAATTGCAGCCTAGGATATTTTAAGGGAGATTTCATGAGGATTGTACGTAAAGTCTGAAATTTCATAAGCATAAAAACTGCATTTGCCTGAAGCAAACCTTTTATAGAGAATGTTTCCAAGCACTTTGCAGTAGGAAAACTACTAAAGTTTTAAATGTGATTTACTGCTAATTGTGTTACATATCACAGGTGGTTTCAGGCTATATTTACTACCATAGTAACTGCATTATAATATAAAGAGAAGATTCTTTTCTTCATGAACAATCATATGAAATGAAGAAAATTGTAACTTTAAAGAACAGATCATATAAAAGAACAGAAAAATTACCAAATATATATTTACTTACTCTTTTCTATACTTTTCTTGACAAGTGGAAGCAATCAGAGAAAAAAGCACGGATTTACCAAAAATTACTCTCTTTAGGTACGGTGTTATTACATGAATGATACTGTCCTACATGCCATGAGCAATCTATTAATTTCTGTCTTCTTGAAAGTGGGCTCCTATAACTCCTCATCAGCACTTTCCAGCTGGAAGACTTTGTTTCTGGTTCTGATAGTGAATTTTCTACAGGAAAAACAAAACAAACAACCCCCCAGACCACAACCCCCCAGAACCACTCTAATCAGATCCATGAGTACTGTATTTGGGCAATACTGTGCAATTCAAATCTGTGCCTGAGCCCTGGAGGATATGAAATCATATTTGTAATCTCCTTATACTTTGGGAACTGGAAAGCCCCAAATCCATAGCATCACTGAGGCAGCATGGCTTCCCCATTACTTCAAAAGAAGTTGCAGTTCCACCCTTGGTCATGCCACTTCCACCGTTCCTTACTCTGGACTTCCAAGAGAACCACTGAGTGTAACTTCTCCCATTACCTGTAATGGGTCAGTTCACTCATGAAGGTTTTTAGTGTTTTCACCTATGAACACAAATGAGATACAGCCCTTGTTAGCTGTGTATCTGTCACGGTTTAACCCCAGCTGGTTACTGTGCTCCACACAGCTGCTTGCTTACTCCCTACCCGTCCATGGAACGGGAAGGAGAATCAGAAAAAGGTAAGACCCATAGGCTGAGATAAGAACAGCTTAATAATTGAAATGAACTAAAATATAATAATATAATAATGCTAACAACAAGAAAACTCAATAAATGCAAATGATACACAGCTGCTGACTGATGTTCAGCCAGTCCCCAAGCAGTGACTGGGGGTTTCCAGCCAGCTCACCCCAGTTTATGGACTGAGCATTCTGTGGTGTGGAATACCCCTTTGGCTAGTTTGGGCCGGGTGTCCTGGCTGTGCTCTCTCCCAGCTTCCCATGCCCTCCTTACTGGCAGAGCATAAGTGACTGAAAAGTCCTTCATCGGGGTAAGCATTGCTTAGCAACAACTAAAATACCAGTGTGTTATCAGCATTATTCTCAGACTAAAGCCAAAACACAGCACTGCAGCAGCTACTAAGAAAAAGTGAACTCCATTCCAGCCAAAACTGGGACCAGGATCTAGCAAGAGTTAATGGAGGTATAAACCTTTACAGCACTGGCTGTAACTGAACCTGAACTAGCAGGGTCAACTATGGTAAACATTCCTTGTAAAGGTGAGAGCTGACAAGTGATACCTCATGAAGAGCTGTCTAGAAAGAAGTGACAAAACATCAGACCACTAAACAAGTATAACAACTCAATCCAGTATTTTATCGTTCTCTCTCAGTGTAAAAATAAACTGTATTGCTATGGCACTGAATTTTCTTCGGAGTGAAAAACCATTTCTGCATGCATATTTTCCTTTTTAATATTTGTTTTAATCTGTTTCAAGCTTCCTTCTTTTTGTTCCCGGTGCGACAGCTCCCAGATGACATCATAAATATGTATTTATCTTTGAAACTCGGTTAAAAATTCAATCCATGCAAGGTACTGCTTTCAAGTATGTAATCTAGTGTGTGAGAATATCTCTTCAAGCTTCACAGATATTACCTAGCAGGGAAAATAAAATCCGCAAGGACTCATCCTGCTGTGGAACATTTGACAACTTGCATTGATAACGAAGAGGTAAAGACAGTAGATAATCTGTAAACCAGTACTGAAAATGATACATATTTTGAGTTACTCTAATTTTTGTAAAACCGAGTTAAACTTTCTTTTTTTTTGTCCAACCAACTTTCAGAGAGTGTTTATTTTTACCATGTGGAAAAAAAAGAATATTTTATGAATGCATAGGCTTTTCATAGAAAACTTAAGTCAAAAGCCATCATGGGCTTCTCAAAACATGTATTACAAATGAGTAGAACCTCTTTTTAAATATGCAGTATTAGTAACATAGCTGGCATTTACTTACTTCTTGATTACCTAAAGCATGGGAGGTAAGATTTAGAGAAATTTCTATTATTCTTCTGGAAAATTACTTGTCTTTTCAGATAACATTAATGTATTTTGACACTTGTCAGCAGACTCCCATAATTTTAAGATTTCTGTAATGGTGAAAGTCAACCACTATGTGTAGCCACCTGTTCCAGCAGCTGACCCGTTGACAATTCCCTTGAACACTGAATGCAACTAATAGTACATACAGTTTTAAAGGAAATACGTGACAAAAATTGTCCAAACTTGTGAAAATTTCCTCAAGAGTTTCCCAATACATGGTGCACTTTGAGAAAAAAAAATAATTCTTTACCAGAAAAGCTGCTTGCAGTCTGGTTTTTCAATGACTGCAGCTATGGGCTTGTTCAAACTTCAGTTAGCTGTTACTCTCTCAACTTAATCCATAATCTGTATCTCCTTTTAGGATTGGTGGAGCTGTGCCTACAGTCTTCTCCTATTTTTCGGAAGTGCTTGCTCGGGAGAAACGAGGTGAACACCTGAGCTGGCTCTGTATGTTTTGGATGATTGGTGGCATCTATGCTTCTGCAATGGCTTGGGCAATAATTCCTCATTATGGTAAGAAAGAACATCTCCTAGTGACTTGTAGCTCTTCCACTGTGAAAGTAAAGATCCTGAAGTATAGTTTAAAAAGGGGACTTCATGTCTGCTCCCAAAATACTGACCCTGCTGTCAAGAAAAAAATATTATTCCTTCTGGTAGGAATAATAAGAATAGGTTGTACCCTAAATAACAAACAATGTATTAAAATGGTGAAACATAGTCAAACCCCATGTTTAGTCAGATTGTTTAAATTACTGAAAACTTGGACACATAAAAATACAGTTGGTGGTTGTGTTTAATCTGGAGAAAGTAGGTGTGGAGATTTGCATCCGAGAAAATAAACATTAAATTGCTGGATATCAAACTTGTGCTCACATTGCATGATTCAGAGGTCAAATGTCAAATACACATTCTTGAGAAAGAAGAGTAAGGATAATTAATGCTTACAGTGTTAATTCTGAATATGAAGCTATGCTGAATGTTTCATTCTTAGTAGAAGAACTAGAAGTCTAGAAGTAGAGAAATTGAACAGAGTGTACTGTTCAATCCTGTAAGGGTGCTGTAGGGGTAGAATGAGGACAGGTAGTACAGAAAGCTTGCAATAGCTGAAGTTATACACACATGCAATATAAGCCACTTTGTGAAAGACTTCTTTACTGCCCTGACATGGTTAAACATTATGTGGAGGTACAGATTCAGTTCTTAGTCTCTTGGGTTTGCCTTTTGCACGTGTTAAGTGCTCACAGGTCTCCTGTGACAGCTCAGGGGCTCTTAAAAATTAACCTCTGCAAGCACTTCTCTCTGGTAGTCCTCAAGACAGTAAAGCAGAGCTGTGAGTTAGCTGGCATCCAAAGCAGCTTTCTTTAGCCAAGCAGTGAGGTTTATCACAGTTGGATTGTGGAAGAGATGACAACTTCATAACGTTTGCCCAAAGTGATTGGAACATTCAGCAAGCTGTTGTGTCCAGAAATGAATTATAATAATTCAGACTAATAAAATATCTAGACTGTTGCATTAAAATTAATTTTTCCACAAACCTGAATCTATGTCTTCAACCTTGCCTTTTGTCTTTGAACTGCTGGAAGTAAAAAGAGTAATTATTGCTGACAAAGTATAATGTGGATAATTTATTTTTTGTCCAATTAATAAATTGCTCTTAATGCCAAGCACGTTTCACTTTCCTATGGATTTTTATTTTCCTTATCTTTGAGTGGAAAATGCAAACATTATGACAGATATATGTTGTTTGAGTTCACTGTAGATTTTATAAATAACTCCATAACCTTTACTAATGTGCTTTTGAAAGACCACGTGGCAGTATATGAGTGGATGATAATACACTTCTTTATACCAAGGCAGTAGCAGTAGAGAGAAAAGTTTTCTTCTTTCTTTAGCAGTGGAAGAATATCAGCAACAAAAATACATTCTGCACCTCTTTTTGTGTGTGTGTTTGTGTCCTGCAAAAATGTTTATGAAATAATATTAAGGCAATCAGAAAAACTAATTTTAAAAGACAGTATTCTTCAGTGTTGGCTGTAGAATCATAGAATCAACTTGGCTGGAAATGATCTTTAAGCTCATCAAGTCCAACTGTTACCCCAGGACTGCCAAGTCTACCATTAAGGCATATCACTAAGGGCTACACAGTTTTTGAACACTTCCAGGGGTGGTGATTCCACCAATGCCCTGTGCAGCCTGTTCTAATGCTTGATCACCTTTTGGTGAAGAAACTTTTCCTGATACCCAGTCTAAACCTTCCTTGTGCAGCTGGAGGCCGTTTCCTCTTATTCTATTCCTTGTTACCTGGAGGAAGAGACTAGCCACTTCCTCCTTTCAGGTTGCTGTGCAGACTGATGAGGTCCTTCCTGAGCCCTCATTTCTTCAGACTAAACAAGCCCAGTTCCCCCAGCTGTTCCCAATTACACTTGTGCTCCAGACCCTTCACCAGCTCCATTGCCCTTCTCTGGACCCGCTTCAGCACCTCAATGTCTCTTTTGCAGTGAGGGGCCCAGAACTGAGCACAGGACTCAAGAGGTAGCCTCGCCAGTGCTGAGTACAGGGGGATTATAAATCACTCTCCTTACAGTATAGTAAAGAAAGTTGTAATAGCCAAAAGGAGGGCTAAAAAGCAAGCTATGAACAACAGAAACAATCCTTTCTCACAGGAGAAGAAGTGGGGTTAAACATAATTTAAACAAAATTAGATAAAATGTATTTATGGATTTTGATGAGGTTGTAAGAAAGTTTTCACTTTGATCAAACTTTTTTATTACACTGTGAAATTTAAAACATGTGTCTTAGTTCATAATACACACCTGGAGTCACCCTAGCCCATGATCAGGGCAAACTTTATTGTTATAATGCTGTGCCAAGTTTTCAGGCATTGCCAAGGGCTCCCAGGGCAAACCCTGCTCTGGGTCTTGGGAGTATGTTGTCATACATTGCTGTACCGTCCTGGAAACAAACCAGGTTAGGCAAGCACATTGCTCATTCTTAAATCTGCTTTCCATAAGTAGGTAGATCTTTTCATAGGCATAAGAGTCCATGAGTAGTTTCTATTTCTAACCAAGTGTAATTGTGATTAGAATGGAACAATCTGTTTTTCTTTAGAGTAAGCGGCTTGCAAAGTGACGAAGATTTCTCTTTGTAGCAGAAGATTGGCAAGGTGAAACAGATCAATTTGTCTAAAGAAATTAACTTGACTAGCAATCAAAAAGATCTTTTTATCACCTTTTTGGTAGGTGGCTTGAGAGTTGTTTTGGTACTATTTTCTATTTTCATGTTCGCTCTATTCTTGTGTCCAGTTGGACATAAAACATATAAAAAAGGTAAACATCTTCAAACCTGCAATACAATTCCCATCATGAGCTACATTGTAGTAAAAAAGGCAAGGAAGTAAGCAGAGAGATGAGAAGATGGAGAGCTACTGGCTCATTTTGCAACTCAGGGCATGTACAGCATCGTTCAGTGTTGAGGGGGGATTTAATTTGTCAGCCTGCAGCAGACTACACTGAGAACATGATGGACTAAAACTGTTCAGTGGCAATAAAGTCAGAAAAACTTTTAACTTCCTTATTCAATGAGTTGGGGGGGGTGTTAAAGGGTTTCTCAGTGGCACATGGCAGTAGAAACACTAGAATAAAAAAGTCCTACACCAATGCTGTATTATCAATGGGGTTATAGGGCATGGTGAATGCTTAGAATCATAGAATCATAGAAAAGTTAGGGCTGGAAAGGACCTTAAGATCATCAAGTTCCAACCCCCCTGCTAAGGGCAGGAAGACCTCACTCTAGACCATGTCGCTCAAGACTCTGTCCAACCTGGCTTAGCAATAGAAGCAGAAGTATCTTAGGAGCTGTCTGTCTTTGAGTACTTCTGATGAACAGAGCTGGATCTTAGTGGTAGGAGCTGCAAGTGTGGCTGTACAGATGTTTCAGTCTAGTCTGCTGTTCTCCTCCCATTACAAGGAGACAAGAGGTTTTTTTGCATCAGCAAAACATCAAAGAGTCAAAAGGTTGCACTTTTCCATGGTGATGGTTATTCCAAGATAAATGCTGTGAAATAATAGTTCACAGCACATTAAATGTTAAGTGGTAAAGCTTTTTCTGTTTGACAGCGTTTATCTTTATTGAAATTTAAAGGTTAACAAAATGGCTTTGTTATGAAGATGAAGGACTTGAAGCTAGATTTTTTTTGACTAGCAGCTTGTATAAGCTACAATTTCTTCAAATGTAACCCATGAACTTGAGTATCTCAAGGTTTAAGTCAGGGTACCTGGATAGAAATAGAAAATTCTTGACTCCTTCGAAAAGTTAAGGTCTTAACTTCACTATTACTTGCGTATAAAAAAAACAAGCGACAAAAACCAACAAAACCAAAACACTAGTAATTACTTTGTTGAGAGTGCACAGATCAATATCTGCAAAGCATCTTTAGACACAGTTTGTGTCCTCAGATCTATGAGCTTCAAAGTGTCAAAGTTGATGGTGATGCTGTAAATAAGTGTCTGTTATTTTTGTCACCTACTGCCGCATTTCAAGTATTGCTGGTAGTGTTTCTAGATTCTGAAATGTTTGTTAGAGGTGGGTCTGAGCATTGGAGGAACAGCTTGATTTCACTCACAGCTATTTATTCAGCTGCTGCTAGCATTTCCTCAGCAGTGAGGTGCCCAGCAGCTCATAAATGTGTTATAAATCGTGGTTTAATCTTAGGGAAAAGATTACCAAGTTCCTTCTTCCACCCTTTTCTTTGCTGTAGTCCTCAGAGAGGAATTTGACTATCTCTAATGCAGTGCACCCATCCAATCAAAAGACCAGGATGTGCTTACATGATTTATAATAAAAAGAGCCACACTTGACTGATTTCATATTGCTGCATCTCTGCAGTGACTGTGCCCAAAACAACAAGAGAAAGAAATGTATTCAATAGTCGTATCTACAGAGGTGATTTACTGCAGTACTTGTACGTCAACAACTGATTAATGTGAGTTGGAAATAGGAAAAACAGTTATGTGATGGCTGTTTTGTTTCCTTGTTCAAAGTTGAAACGTACTGAAATAGGGTGCTATCAGTGATTCAGACAAGCAAGAGGTGCATCAGTGATGTCTTCTTTAATCCTGCAGAAGGCAAATAAGAGAAAAGCATGATTAGCTGCAGATGGAAAGAAATAAACTGCTTGCTGATAAGACAAAAATTAATGAGCTGAACTTTCTGTCAAGAGGAGGTAGTATAGATGATGAAAAAGACTTTCTAATGGTGTGTTAGCTTCTGAATAAAGCATCTAAATAAATGAAGCACCTCAATAAAACTGCTACGGAACTAGAGAAAACTCAATGTAGGTCTAAGATGATATTTTGAGAACGTTGTAAAGGCTATTGTTGATCCTGATTTGGAGCAAGTGTGTGCCCCCTCAAAATCCCATCTACGCTTGTTTTCAGCAAACTATTAAACAGATACTGCTGCTCCTAGGAATGCTGGGGTGGGCCAGAAAAGAGCAAACAAAACAAAGACAGAAG